TGTTTCCATGTCGTCCCATGGAGACCGTGCAGCCACGTGGAGTGTGAAGTCCTGCGTGGTCTGTGTTTCCAAACAATTCTGCCTTTGTGCAGAAAGTAGCAAGCTACCGGGACACGGAGTTGCAGCTCCAAGACAAACACAGTATTGGGAACTTAAATGTTAGCTCTCGCATCTCGTGATAGGGAGGAGGACGACCCATCTCAACATAGGAAGGTTTATTGCAATATGCATATAGCCTTGGCCCTTTTAAGACAAAGTGGTGTGCCAGTGTTTGGGGTCTTGGTTTACAGCACACAGCCTTGCTCCCTGGACATCCCAGGGGCAGCCAGGAGGGGTCATCTCCCCCTCCCACATCCAAGCTCCTCCACCCGGCCTTCTGCCCTGGGATGCCACATCTCCTCTCGCTGCCGTCACCAAAAGCCTGTACCACAAAGTGTTTTTATGTTCCTCATTGACTCCTGGCTTTTTCCAGATGTTTTTTCCCCTCTCTGTGGCTCTCTGCAGTTTATCAGATGCTGCTCTGTTTCAACCACTCTCCAGCCCCCAGAGTTCAGTTTATATTCCAGCCTGAGCATGCTCCTCCGATCCGGGCATTAGCTTCTATTGTTTTGGCTATCACTAAACCAAGGAGTGTGTATTTGCTTCCTCTCTTGGCCTCAGGGAAACGCTGCCAGCAAACCCTTTGAGCCTACAGATCAAAGAAACATTTTCTAGCCATTGCATGCAGGAGCATTTTGGCCAGCCTGAGGAAGTCCATCCGCCTCCTTTCGTAAGTTCTCCTGAACTAACGCACACCCACAAAACACTTCTGGATGTAAACTTTTTCACATCCAACAGCAGCTGTCGGAGACCACCAGTGATTTTAAAATCCTCTCCGGTGTTTTGCATTCTACGTGGCATTCGGCATTGTGAACCAGAGGATGTGCCTTGAATAAGTGTAGGTCTGTGCAGGGAAAAGCAGCACGATTTGCTTGCCCATAAATACTCGCCGCAACGTCAGTGTTCATAGAATCACAGAATATCTCAAGTTGGAAGGGACCCATAAGGATCATCAAGTCCAACTCCCTGCTTCTTGGAGGGCTACCTAAACTAAACCATGTGACTACGGGCATTGTCCAGATGCCCCTGAGCTCTGACAGGCTCGGTACCGTGACCACTGTCCTGGGGAGCCTCTTCCAGCGACCGACCACCCTCTCAGCGAAGAACCTTTTCCCAGTGTCCAGCCTGAACTTCGCCTGATACAGATCTGGAGGCAAGAAAAGCTAATGCTACCAAAAGGAGCAACAGAGTACCTGGCACCATCCATTTCTCTGCTGAGTAGATCATGAGACTGCAGTCAACAGGATTAGTTTAAATTATAGATTAACCAAACGCATTTCGCCTGTGGCAGATTTAGCAAGCCCTAAAACAACTTTTTTTTGGCAGCAACACTGCTTCCAGTAGGTGAGCAAAGATGATTCTGAATAGTAACAAAACTGAAGAGCCACAGACCTGATTTTCAGTACTGTAGAGCCTACCTATTTCCAGCCAAGCTCCACAGGGGGCTGGGCATACCCAGCACAAATGAGAAACATAACCCAGATGTTTGAGGGGGAGTTTGGACAGAAAACGTATGGAACCTAAAACCACATGGATGTAGGACACTTCCAGCATGAAGATGCAAGTACAGACAAGCTGTCTGAAGGGAGTCTGTGGCAGACAGGAATGGCACCAGGGAATTCTTATTTCATTTCTTCCCTAAACATTCAGTTGACAGATTTCTGCATAGCTAGAAGGAGCACTTTTGGATCCCCATGTTCTAAGCAACTCTTCAGTTGCTCAGAAGGCTGGGATTTTTTGGTTATCTAAAATGGCTTTAACAACTGTAGGACCAGAGACCTTCTAAACAAAGGCACAAGGAACCACCATCCAACTGCGGAGAAACAAGACTAAACAATTTACAAAAAACCAAGCCAGTTCACAACACGCTATCTCCTTCTCTTTGATGGAAGCGGCCAAAGTTTTTCATTTGCTCTGCAAACAGAAAGCAACAGTGCGTTTCCCAAGGGAGGGCACTCTTGTGCAACTGCTTACGAGAGGCAATCGGCCAACTCCAGAGGACTTGGGAAGCCACTCGTCCCCCCACCTCACTCACCTTACTGTAGAAGGGTATTGTAAAAACCGCCTGGATTGGCTTTAGCTCCTATTTTGCTGTGGATTGAAAAAGAGCTCAACAGCCTGACCCTTCCCAACCGAGGGCAGAACACGTATGACTGCTGCTTGTCAGCATCTCACTAGCCATATAAATGCACATATTCCTCCCTCCTAACATACTGCAACTTCAACCCAACGGCGATGGCTTGCCTGCTTGAACACGCTGTTTGCACCAACTCTTGCCCCACGCTGTCTTTAATGCCCCACAGCGAGAGCCCAGCGGCTGGAGCCACTCAAGCAGACGGAAACCGCATCTCAGGCAGCAGACTGAAATATTCGATCCTAATGCTGTGGTTTTCTCCATTTGCAACATCTTTCCTCTCTGCACACTATGCTTCATGACAACTGGACAGGCAGATTATATTAAAGCTCATGCATAGCTTTTCAAATGATTTCTCATCAAGTCTCAGCGGAAACTAATTGAAGATTAAACTAATCATTACTTGAGGCCTCTTACAGAGCATTTTATCACTTTTTGTGAATACATTATGGAGAACTTCAGTGAAGTGCTGACCTGGCAGGACCACTGAACACAGGAGCTGGAGCGGCTGGACAACCCAATACACACCTGGGAAGTGAGGATGTGGGACGTGCCTAATAAATGGGACAAGACAAACCCTTATCCATTTCTTCTGGCTGAAAAATCCAGTCTAGCAAAACCACAACCGTCATCGTTTTCCAAAACATCATCCTGCCTTTCTGCAAACAGAGAAGCAAATCTGACAAGAGCTGTTTGACATTACATGAAATATTCCTGACAAACTCTCTGATCTCCTCTGCCTCCTGAAATCTGGAGAATACCACCATGCCCAGCCAAAACCCAGCTACCGTAACTCGCGTTGATCCCTGCTTTAACCTGCTTCCACAATAACCAGATTCTTTCATCGACCCATCTGCGGCTCCATCCCTGACCTCTGGTCTGCGCAGCGCCTCTCTGGGTATTGTACGTGGCTATCGGATAACGACCACTGACATCCAGCCTCCCCCCAGCCCCTGGGTAAAAGCCGTAACACTGGGTCATGGCAGGCCCCCAGACAGAAAAATCAGTGTGCTTTTTCTGCAGTGCCTTGCAGGGTTAAGGAGTCATTTAACCAGAGATGAAAGCCGAAAGAAAGGTCCAAACAGGTTTTGAAGCAATAGAAAAAAAAAGCCTGGAATGTCAGAACCAGATGCTTCAGCCGGTAATAAAATTCATGGTCCCAAAAGCAGGATCAGATATATCCTTACTTGTGTTTGCTTTCACAGAAATACACATTTTCAGGTTTCTTCTGCTGCAAAGGCAAACAAGAATCCTGAACACTGGTCACCACAACTATTGGGAATACTTCGGGAGTATTTTACACATCTCATTACTGTAAATGTTTTAGAAACATTATCGTGCTCTACTCTACTCTCCCTCCTTATGTCATTTTTATCTTACAAATGAGAGCTCCTTCAGGCAGGCGTCACATGCAAGTTCCTGTCTAAGCATTTAAAATATTACAGGTGGTGTGAGTTATCAAATTTTCTGGAATCATTCTCACTTTTAAGATAATTTAGATGCTTCCCACTACTTTTGACATGCTACAATATGGGAAAGCAAGATCAGCTTTGGTTTAGATTATTAACATGATACGATTGCAGCGCACTCAGAAATGGTCAAAAATCACCTCTCTCTTTCATTCCCAAATGTTCAATTCTGTATGAAACCACAGTAAAATAGTAAGTCTTGTGAATAAGGTTTTCGTTTACATTTGACTGTGTTAATTATTGTCAGAGAGCCAACATCTGCGCTGCTGCCTATTTTATTTATACACATACACTTTTTATGTCTTTTTGTATGTATGTGTATGTGTACACATATACACATGTGCCACGTGATTTTATCTGGCTGATTTCTAATAGTGACTATTCCAACATAAGTTATGGAAGAGGAGAGGAAGGGACATCTGAAGGAAGAGCAGGCCATCACCTCCAGCAGAGCCCAGGGAAACCTCACTATGTGCAGAATAACCTTCAGGAAGTAGAATAGCATTGTATTACCCTCCAAAAATTTGGAAATGCATTGCATGTCCCTACAGACTCCACACTGTCTCAGGACAAATCCTAGACTAAAAATCAAAAACATGCTTGGATGCCATGAGTTGCTTTTCTGTGTGCTGCTGTTTTACATAAGAATCACCAAAAAGAGAAATTATTTTGTCTGTCTTTAAGCAAGAGTCCCATCAAAAAATTCTGCATAGAAAAGCTTGGGGAGACACCAAGACTGACTGCCAGTCCACTATGGGATTGTGAGAAAGCACGTCCACCATGAGACACAAACATTTGCTGGAATCAAAACCATGAAGAAATGTTAAAAGTCAATTCATTTTAAAATACAGCCCTCCCAGTCTACCAGCTAACACCTCTGAAATGGTCCAGCCACAGAGCAACCTCAGAGCCAGTGCACCAGGAGAAAGCAAATGGGTTCAAGGACAAAGTACTGATCAGTCAAACACGGGTTCAAGGACAAAGTACTGATCAGTTAAACCCTATAAAAACCCAAATCAGCAAGTATTATAACGTGGACTCCTCCATCCACAAGGTACAAACCTGCGAAGCAACTCCTTACAAGGGATGGAAACAGCGACCAATTTGAGCTCCTCTGGCTGAAGAGAAGACAACGCAGCAACTTCTCCATACTCGGAAATTGCAGCCCTGAAACACTCAGCCCCATTCCCTTGCACTGCTTTTCAGATGTGGAACAGAAGGAAGGGACAGGCTCAACACACAAACCTGCACTTTTATAGCTCTGGGGGTTTTATGGTGTGGAAGAAAACCTTTGGTACCTGCTGTCCTAGGAACAGAAGATCCTCCATGAGCCTTGAAGTCAGCACAGGAGTCCTCGCAGCAGATCACTGACCCGGAGCAGAACTTCGTGTCTGGGGGAGAAAGAGCTTGGCAGAACAACGCACCATGTGGGGAGAGGAACAAGGAAACATTTTAGAGTAATTGAGGAGGAAGGTCAGCCGTGCTCAGCCAAGGTTATCTTGTAAAGGTCTAAATGAGGTGGGTTTAGTTTAGTTTGCAAACTCTAGCCTTTCAAATAGTGTGGACAAATACATTCCCAGTGCTATATAGTCCCATCATAAATGACTTGAATGGGCCCATAAGCCTTCAACAACCTCATTCCTGTGTGCTGGAAGCTACTCACTTTAAGCCAAAAGAACAGGACAGACATCCTCATCCATACATCTTACTGCTGCCAGTAGAAGGTGTCTCTTTAAAAGACATCCCAGCCTCACCCAGGCTACCAGCAGACACAATTTTTCCCTACTTTTCTCTCATCTGCCAAACTCTTCCATTGGTGAGTTAATGCTCAATGCTCAGTGTCCTGTCCTTCAGAGGATCACAAGTGTTTTAAAAAAAAACATGGTGGGTCCTGAAGGTATTGTTATCTCTATTTTACAAAAGGAGAAGCCAGAGATAGCAAGAGAAAAAAAAAATTTCAAAAGCTTCTAAATGACTGTGAAACTGAAATAACTTTCAAAAGAGAATTGGACACTCCAGAGCTGAAGTCAACCTTGCACGTCCTTCAGTCACATCTCAAAATGAAATGTGCTTTCAATTCACTTAAGGCAAGGTCCTCAAAGCCACAGAAGTCCTAAAGAGTATCGCAACAAGAAATGATTTCCAAGCCTAAGATGCAGAGCTAAATTAGCCATGACTTCTCCAGTCCTCCAAGAAAATAACTGATTAGGTGCCTAACAGTCCACAGGAACCCATGTCTTTCACCAAAAGAAGGTACTTGGATACCTCAAGTTTTTCCTCCTCCATGCTGTGATCCCACCATTTTGGCTGAGCTGAGCCTCTTGGCACTTACACCCGTGAAAGCCCACTTGACTGGGAAGCTGTGAGCACAGCTAACGCTCCTCAGCCCTGCTCTGGCATCAGTATGAGGGAGCAGCTCCTCCAACGTTCATTTAAAGACGTGGCTGGAGGAAGAGGGTGTGGTTGGGGCGGCACAAAAACAGCACCCACCACCAGGGCAAGGTGGTTGCAACCTCTCCCCGTGGAGAGAGGTGCTGGGTTTGGACTCTGCCTCCAGGGCCGGTTTTGATTTTTATCCAGTGATGTTTTCATGCAAAGCGTGTAGTAAGCAGCCTTGGGAAAGCTGCCAGATACCTGCTCCCCACCTCCCTTCAGGGGAGATCCCAACCGGTAGGCCACAGTCAGGCTCCCACTTGCTTCTCCTCTCTGGCTCTGCGAATCCTTCTCCGCACCGTGGCACAACTTCAATAGGAAGGGCTGAGAGGTTGCCTACAGCCTGGGAAGGGACAGGTGGATTTGAATATCCCTTGGGAGAAGGAGGACCCAAACCCAAGTTCGACCACTTCAGAGACGAGTATTATAACCATTAAGTTATTATATGAAAACCACCACACCAATCATTTGTATCTTAAACAGCGAGCGCAAGGCTGAGCGCCGAGGCTTGGGCAACAGGGGCAGGTTTGACTCCCCTGGCTGGGTTTGGAGCCTGCAGAGTGTGGGAGCCACTCGCGGGATGCAGCATGAGAGCTGGCACGGGAAAAGGGTACCCAGGAGCCCAAGCAGGTATCCGTGCAGAGAACTCAAGGGACAAGCGTCAGGGAGGGAACAAGATCCTGCAAGCAAGCCCTCTTTAAATCACCGGAGATACATCAGTTCCCACCATTTGAAGTCCTAACCTATTACTTCAGGGTTAAAATGTCAAACTAAAAATCTCTCTTATCACCACCAAAGTGCTTTTACCTTGAATTTTAAAGTGTTTGTTTAAGCTGAGGTTAAAAATAGTCTGGGCTCCTTGACTGTTAAGCAGATCATAAAACTCTCTGTAGTCCAATAGGCTATAGAAAGTTTCTATAGTTTTACTAACTATCGTGTCTCTAGTCTATCTTCCTGCATCTTCTTCATCTTCAAACTAAAAGAGTTTAGCTGCAAAAATTTAACTAAAGGGCCTTCTTAAAGGAATTTTATTTGGCCGTTAGCCAATGTGTTTTAATCGCAAACCAACACAATAAAGTAAGTAACAGCTAGCTCTACATTTAATTGTTAGAAAGAGAGTATGTTTGTAATTAAAGAGCAATTCTATGCACGTGTTTTTAAATCCTGTGAGCCTGATTTTCTTCAATTTTGTTGTTTCTTCTAATTCTTTAAATACGTATTTGAAAGAAGTGGAAGGAGAAGTAGCACTATTTGGAAATTGCAAATAAATCTTTTGAAAAAATAAGTACATTTTAATCTCACTGACATATACTAACCATAAAAAAGGAGCTATGCAGTAGAAAAGGGACACTTTTTGACAAAACAGGAGGTGTTCAGAGGAGGTATCCCTCTAAAGAGGGATAGATGTGTAGGCTGAGTAAATGGAAATATTTGCAATTCATTTTAGACATTTGTCAGGATAATTTGGTAGGTAGATGTGTGCAAGAGCTGCAGAATTTGTTTCAGGCCTATTCAGAAAAAAATAAAATTTTTTCATTTAGATTTCAGACTCATGTCAGCAACATATTCATTAGTTTATCCAACAGCATTAAAAGTGAGCTGCAAGTACCCCTAAACCTCCTCCCACAAAACAAGAAAGTTACAGCTAAAATTCTGCATCATTCCACACCAGTGATTTTTAGACAGAATTTCCCACTCACCTTAAGAAGGTGATAATTTAAAAATCTCTGCCAAGGAATACAACCCCCTCACAGGGCTCCCACAGCTCTGAAGACGCCTGCTGGTAGAATTTGATATCCTGTATCCAGAGCATTAGCCAGTGTTTGGGAGACTTGGGTTAGGAAAAGGTACACAGTTGTACAGATGTTAAATTCCTTGGAGTTGGTTTTTGGGTTGGGTTTTTTTGGGGGGGGAGGGTTTGGGGTTTTTTTTTTAAATTTTAAGAAAAAAGAGAGGATCCTACATTTTTAAAAGTCTGAGCATAAGAACACAAACATATCTTATGGTCCTTCCAGCCAAGCACCTGATGGCTATAGAAGAAATACCACACAGTTGTATCTCCACAGACTTGCTGTGGCTTTTTTTTTTTTTTTCTCTCCAGTATTTGCACTGGTGTGGGAGAATTGCAAAGTTTAACATTGCTTTTGTCATTTGGAGAGCAGTGCTGGCCAATCCTGCTTGCACTGTCACGTTATTTAATTAAATAGCCAAAAATTAATTACTCCACATGCCAATACACAGTGCAGTCCTACCAGTTTTCATTTTAGAATCTAGCTCAGTCTACCCCACAAACGACACTGCTGAACAAGGGGGGAAAGGAGGAATGAACGAGAGTAGGACAGCTATCTACTGCAGGGCAAGCAGAGCTGAACAAGCTTCATGCATTCAAATCAGAGACCAGGGAGTTCTCTGGCAACATTTGAGGAACACATGAGAAAGCTGTATGCCATGGTGCCAGCAGTAGTAGAGGACTGAACGTGGTGACCCCAGGGGTGCTTTCCAAGCCTATATTTAAGTTCTCTTGGCACAGAAACCATTCTGTATGTGTTATCATCATGGAAGCTTTTCTGTGTACCATTTTTACTTCTACTCTATTCAAAACACAGTTATCACAGTGTGCAACGCCTGGGCATATTGTGGATTTACACACAAATCTCAATTGTTTTATTATTATTATTTGAAATGGTCTGTAAAGTCTTTAACACCGATTACCCTCCTGAGTACTGCTAAGGATTGAGCTGATATTTTCCAAGAACTATTCAAAATGACACAGAGATCTTTTTCTGAACGGCTCCATCTCTGTGGATGCATGGGTACAGTTCTTTTCCCTTGTGCATCACTTTGCAGTTGTCCAAGACTGGGTGAAAAAAATGGAGGAGAATATTCACAGCCAGTTTTAATTTTGACTACCTTGAAAATATCTTATATGTCAAGTTTGTCATCTCTCCTTTTTTCCTAAAACATTAGTAGATAATTTAACAGTAGAGGTACCAACAGAGACTCCTGTGACCTGGCGACCTCCCTACAATAGGAAAACTGATGACTCAGTTCCCACCCTCTGTGTTATTACCTTTAACTAATTAGAGCCATAACCAGTTCAAAACTGCAGGGGTGCTTTCCCTTTTATTCCTTAGGAATTTAGGGGTTTGATGACCATTAGTAAGGGACCTTGGAAGTCCAGCTATACCTTATCGACTGAATCACCTCTACTCATGGGCTGCTGGGCTTCAAAGCACACAGATTTGCGACAGCTTCCTTCTACAAAATCCATTTTGACATTTACCCAATATATCATATTTACTTTATGAATTCAAGTCTTCATTTTAGTTTCCATAGATTTGCCCAAGGAAGGCTAGATTTACCAGTGCACATAGCCCTTTAAACATCAATTACATCTGCCACCTTCGCTCGCCACAGCAATTACTTATTTTATATCAAACAAAACCATTAATTCAACAACTCCACATTTGGGACCCTTGCGTGGCTACCATGGCTACCACCTATTTTTATCAATAGTATTATGCATTTTATCCAATTGTTCTAAACTTGTTCCGCTGACACTTCAGTTTAAAATAGCTCTTTACGCTCTTTCAGATACCAAAATACTCCAGATGAGAAAGCTCCCCAAGATCCTCTATAATGAACAGCAAAGCAAAGATTTATTTAGCCTTTCTGTAACAGCCCTATGTACTTTGAGGGTTCTTATTACACCGCAATCACCTATCAACCCTGCTGATGGACAGGCTTCCTACTCCTCGTGTGTTTGAAGGGGTTTTCTCGTCGTTTCCGTGAGTTTAGCAAGTTCTTCCTCAAAATTGATTTTACCTGCCTTGTTTAACTTGAATGTGTGCTCTTCTATTTTCTCTGTTCAAACATGACCTCCACTTTCTGAAAGATGTCTTTTTACTTCTAACACATCTCTGCTCTTCCACCGAACAATACCAGCTTTTCAGCAAGCTCTGCTCAAGCCCTTTAATAGAAGAGCGATACACGCTTCCTTGAGCCTGCATGACAACATCTTCTCACTGGCTGCGTGTTCTCTGCCAGTATCTTACTCTGGTTCCTTTGAACCACAGAGCTGTAAGAAGAATCACTCATATTTATGTATTCCACCTCTTAAGAGAGATATTTTTCTTTGCACAGTGACAAGAAAATTGAGTTTGTCCTGCTCGTTGCACATTGCTCTGGGTTAAAACCAGTGTTGTCTGTTATTACATTAAGATGTTTCACATCCATACATTGCTTTCCCTGTTGTCTCTCACATCAAGGGCTTTCTCCTTCTTTTCTGATCCCATGTTTAGTGTCACTGGTATTTCTACATTTACTTCTGCAGAGAAAGGCCCTTTCTGCCCTTGTACTTCACTGAATACTCTTGATAACAAGCATCTCAAACAAATACGGGTCTCTCTTCCAAATGAAATTGCTCAATTTGCCAAGACTATAAGAGCCCATATTTCCAAAATAGAGTCCTTGGATTTTCTCAGCCAGCGTTTTGGTAAAGGGAATTTTCCAGACAGTTTCAGGACCACGTTTCCGTCATCACTGTGCAATAATATTAATTATACATATAATTATGCAATAATACTAATACACAGTCAACACCAATATCAACCACCTCCACATCTCTCCGAGGTAACAGATGTATTCCCCTAGCCTTGTGCATTCTTTGTTTCCCACCAGAGCACTGAAGTTCCTTGGAAGGGCACTATCTTCACACCTCTAACATAGTTTGGATGACAAGCCTAAGAAGACTGGCTTTGGTAATGTTTTCTAAAAACCACTGTAAGGAGGAGCACTGACACAGATGACTGATTTTCATCCAGGAGATTCTAGCATTGTTTCACATCTCATGCATTTATTAGGATTTCATTTCCTTCTGGAGCCTCAAGGGAAATTTCATAATCAGCACACCTGGTATGTGTAGTATAAATAATTAAGGGGATGCCCTCTCTAACGATCTATGCAGAAAAGCTGTTCTGCTGTAAGAAATGGCCTGGATCATAGTCTTATTAGAAGAAAGAATTAGGGTTATGAAATCCTCTCCATCTTCAGATTCAAAAAAACCTCATGAACATTTACTGAACCAGATGGAGTCAAGGCTCTACCTGATCTATAGAGGAACCTGCTCAATCAACATGTTTATGAGGAATTTCTACATTAGTCTTTCTACGTTGTCAGCGTAGACGATATTTTATCACCATTTTTCTACCCCAGAATATAATTTATTGCTTGCCTCAACAAAAAGATCGCGACACCAATTCAGCTTACAATCGCATCAAGAAAAATACTTTATGTGACAAATTTGGCAATAAGTTAGCACTACATAAACCGGTTTGATGGCAGAAATACTCGGGCCAAAACATGTTACAGAGGACAGAGATCAGGAGAAGCCCTCCACACTGAGCTTTATCTATTCAACAGTTTGCAAGGACAGTATAATTGTTACAGCCCAAGCTCCAGTCTTTGGAGGTCTCCCCCCCCCCAGACACTAAGAGCACTGAAGTCATCACAAATTGGACCTTCTAAGAAAAAGGAAATATATTATTATCGCAAATGGATAAAATAATCAACACCTCCCTTGCATTGCAGGGCATGCAAATTCATGCTGATGGCTCAAAGTAACGGGTTGGTAGCATCTGCACAATTTTAATCTGAAAGGGTTGTTCGGGGTTTGGGTTTTTTTTCCCCCCCAAGGGCAAAGTCCCTCAGTAGCTGGGACTTACATGCTTTGTGTCTTTCTGTTTTTTACCACCAGAACCCTTTGTTCCCAATGCTTCTTTCTGCTACCTTTGATTAATTTCTTACCTTAACCTGTTTTTAATACTAGAGACCCCTCACTAGAAAACTTTTTTTTCTCCTTTCCCCAAACCTGAACTCAAGTTTTACTTTAAAGCTTCTAAAAAAGTTTCATCATTTGAACGTGCTTTGCTTTATGCTGCCATCTGTAACTGAAGTACAGCACAGTAAATGGTATATTTGTGATTTGGAATCCAGTCTTGCAGATAAAATATTAAACAGTTCATTTAAATATGCCTCTGATATGTAACTGAAATAGATTAAAACACTGAGATTTGCTCACCATCACTACTCCTATTTCCCAACATATTAATTGGACATAGGTAGTCAAATCAAGAAAACCAGCTTCTCATCAAGGGCTGTGTTCTACATTCTGATTATTTACAACTTAAAAATGCTAATGAATAATTTATGGCCAATAAATTAAATCTTGTATGAACAAAACCAGACATATATGCAACATTGTGTAAATATACTCCTACCCTTTCAACTTGCCCAGTTACCTTAGGTCCACCTAAGTGCTACACATTTTTCTAAAGCAATCAGGTCTATGACTAATTAAATTTATTGCTATTAGTGTGAGTAGGCCATATTTAAATTCTATTTTTCAATGCGTTATGAACCAAAGCCTATTCATTACCAGAATTTCTCCCTTTCTAAAAGCCTGATACTACAATTAGATCTGATTGGGCACCTCCCTATATCTTTACATTGCTTTAAGGGGATTCTGCTCAAGTGCATGCGTCCTCTAGAGCCAGAGCCTTCAGTCGTAGCATGATAAAGCATTGCAGGATTATAGTAGTTTTCTAAAGTCAAATAAATGGCTCATCTTTATCTTCTAAGTTTGTTTGTATTGGTAACATCAAGACCTTACCCCTCAATTTAGAAGGGGAATCAGCTATCGAGGTAGCGGGATCAAGGCATCCTACAATAAAATTCAGTATTCTGTTTCAGTGCTGCCCTCTTCTTATCCTACCCAGATCAGTAGGATATGCATGGGATCCCATTAATTAAACAGATTTCAGAACCCTCAGCAAGAAGTGGGTTTCAGTTTAGAAAGTGGCAACAGGAGGACTCTGGGCATGCCTGGAATGAAAAGTCCACCAGTAAAGCTTCACAAGCTGAGCAATATTCTCCCCCTCTGAGAAGGAAATGTGCAATTTGAAAGTCTGCACAGAATGGGTTTACTCCCATGGGACAGGCACTTGACAGCGTAAGGTATTTTGTGAAACTGGCCTTGCCCTTCTCCATCCTGCAGGCTTCATCCTGCTCTGGTGGAAGCCCACACAACCAGGCACCCTGCTCCACTGAATTGGCCAGTTCCCCACAGCAGCCATGGCTGTTCCAGCCCGCTAATGCTAAACATGCTATAAGTGCTCCCAAGCTGTAGGGACCAAGGGGTTAATCCAACTCTCAAGCATACATTAAACTGTGCTAAGAGCATTCCACAGACATACCATCCTGAGCCAGCAGCCCAGAAGGAATAGCTGGCCTGACACATGCTCTGTCCCAGCAACAGACAAATACCTTGGGTTTTACACTCAGCATCAGCAGGGCACTTTGCGGGGCACTCACGAACGCTTGGGAACCCGTGGGCATAGAAAATCAGCCGCTGTATGGACAGCTGCATAAAAAAAAAAAAAAATCCCCAAACCACCACAAACCAAAAACCCCAACCCTGCAAAGCAGTTCATGCAGCATTAGCTGTGAAAGTTGTACTTTGCTTTAAGCAGACCCACTTGGAGATCGTTACCACCTGTCTAAAAGGCAAAATCTTTCCTCATTTATTTTAAAAGCCGCAGCTCTTCCCGCCCCCCTGCCCCCTTTGCACAAACATGCCGTATAGACACAGGCTTACAGGAGAATAAAGAACCCGCAGTTTTAAGTATCCCAGATATTGATCTCTATCAGGTTATATAAACCAGCAGTTTTAGCAGTCTCTCCGGAGTTTGCTGTAAAAGCAATTGGAACTGCAATTAACAACAGCACATCTTAGGATAGGGA